TTGATTGGAAGGTTCTTTTTCTTCTTATGCTCTAAAATCAAATTGGTGTATTCTTGTATGATTGGTTTAATAAAACATTAAAATGGTGAGGGATGTTTCTAGGGATGTGCAAAATAAATGGGAAGATGCTTTGGATGTTGTGGGCGTAGTGGCACATATTTGTTTCAACTGTATGTCACTCAAAGAGAGAAAACCTATGGGCTCTTAATTAAGCCATAGAATGATATGGTAAAATAAAGCTATAGTTTGTTGTAGGAGTATATCTAAATGTAATGTGAACACATGAAAAGAGTTTAGAGCTTTGTATTTGATGGTGGCCTAAAGTGAAAATGGGTTACCACACTTTGGAGACCAAATGTGAATACCCCAAGCTTAGAGTAAAAATTCAGATGATGAGGAAAGAGATGTTTTCAAGGGGAACAGTGGTATTGCATGGTTGTAATAAGGTGTGAAAATTTTATCTTGAGGTGATTGGGGTAGTGATTTGAATTAAAAGGGTCGCGAAGGTGATCTTCTATGATTAGGTTTAGGAGAGAGCTATGTTTATGTAGCTTCTAACTCCTTGAAGGTTATTTTAGCATAGATAAGACTGTTATAGATATGTGGAATAGTGGGTGGAGGGCTGATATTCATGAAGTGTTAAGACGAAGCACAAAGAAAAAAATATTAACTAGTTCCTCCCACTACGGAATAAATAAAGAGACTAATCATTAAGCTTCATCTCCAAAAGAAAAGATTTCTCTTTTTTTTTTTTTACCAAAAATTCTTCGATCAATTTTCTAGCAAGTATTTAAGAAATTACGATGATTCTCAAGTTAAAGTCATATAACCTCACTCAATGGTTTTTCCTTCCATCTTGTTAAAAACTTTTGTTCTATATGTTGATCTAATGATATATTATTTTTGATGAGATAATCTATCTCAAATGATGATGTGCATAAACATGTAAATGATGATTATGTCGTAGAAAATAATCACCATACATATCCATTTATGAATTGCATTCTCACTATATGAAATTATCATTGTTTATGAATTCATCTTTTTTTGTTATTGCACTTGATTGGAAGGTTCTTTTTCTTCTTATGCTCTAAAATCAAATTGGTGTATTCTTGTATGATTGGTTTAATAAAACATTAAAATGGTGAGGGATGTTTCTAGGGATGTGCAAAATAAATGGGAAGATGCTTTGGATGTTGTGGGCGTAGTGGCACATATTTGTTTCAACTGTATATCACTCAAAGAGAGAAAACCTATGGGCTCTTAATTAAGCCATAGAATGATATGGTAAAATAAAGCTATAGTTTGTTGTAGGAGTATATCTAAATGTAATGTGAACACATGAAAAGAGTTTAGAGCTTTGTATTTGATGGTGGCCTAAAGTGAAAATGGGTTACCACACTTTGGAGACCAAATGTGAATACCCCAAGCTTAGAGTAAAAATTCAGATGATGAGGAAAGAGATGATTTCATGGGGAACAGTGGTATTGCATGGTTGTAATAAGGTGTGAAAATTTTATCTTGAGGTGATTGGGGTAGTGATTTGAATTAAAAGGGTCGCGAAGGTGATCTTCTATGATTAGGTTTAGGAGAGAGCTATGTTTATGTAGCTTCTAACTCCTTGAAGGTTATTTTAGCATAAATAAGAGTGTTATAGATGTGTGGAATAGTGGGTGGAGGGCTGATATCTATGAAGTGTTAAGATGAAGCACAAAGAAAAAATATTAACTAGTTCCTTTCACTACGGAGTAACTAAAGAGACTAACCGTTAAGCTACATCTCCAAAAGAAAAGATTTCTCTTTTTTTTTACCAAAAATTTTTCGGTTAATTTTCTAGCATGTATTTAAGAAATTACGATGATTCTCAAGCAATTCAAATATCAAATCCTAATAAAAGAGAGAAAATATACCCAGAGTTATATGTATTACTTTAAAATTTTAAAATTACAAACTTAATATTTGATTATTTGAAATTCTATTTTTTAATTAAAATGATTTTTTTTACTTTTTTAAAATCAAATATTTTATTATTAACTTATATTATTTGTGAGATTAATCCTTTTTATTTATTTATTATTATAAACACAACTTTTAATTTTAAAATTAATATAGCTAATTTAATGTATTATCTTAATTATATTTTTTATTTTTTAAAAAAATCTGTGAATTTTATTTGTTATTTTAGGTTCATTTTCTTCAATTTTAATATATTATCTTAATTAATAAGTCAAGTGAGATTAAAAAAAATTATGTTAAGTACGGTTATAAGTAACTAAAAATAATAAATAACAATTTTACTTATGCATGACTCAAAGATTAATTTTTTTTCTCATATATAAATAATATAATATTAATATTTTTGATCAAAATTTGATTTAAAAAAAATAAAAAAACTAATTAAAAATAAAAATTTATAAATATTAAATATTAAAATATGACTATTTAAAAAAAAACAAAAATACTCGTCATACGCGATGCCACATGATGTCATGACAGCACGTGAAAAGTTATCACTAGACACGGCGACTTTCGAAAGTGGCTTTATATGTGAATAGATGAGAGGAGAAAATATTACATCAGGACTCCTAACGTAGAGCTATGTTCGGAGTCCACTGATAGGCAGACACGTGGCTTCAAGGAAACTTGCGCGCTTTCTTGTGATCCGACCTGATAACACAGGAGAATATTCCTCCTGTGTTAGTCCACGTTATTCAAGTGTTATTGTGTGGTATTAATGTGTTATTGTGTTATTATAACACCGAAAATATTCTCAGAACACAATAACACATGAATATCACCACAATAACACATGAATAATGCGGAATAACACGGGAGGAAAATTCTCCTGCGTTAAAATGTTTTTTTTTTTTTATGTCACCTCCACTTGTATGCACATCAGTGAACTCCGAACGTAGCTCTACGTTAGAAGTCCTGATGTAATATTTTTTCTACATTAGAGGGACTTCATAAAATTTATAAAAAAATTTTAACCGATCATTTTTAATTCCAAATTAAAATTTTGAATAAATTGCTAAAATATTAAGATGCATAAAAGTAGGGCATACTGACCGTTAATTTCTTCTATAAATTGCTAAAATATTAAGATGCATAAAAGTAGGCCATACTGACCGTTAATTTCTTCTGTTCTGGTAACCATTGAAAAAGAAGTATTACAAAGCCTAAGCATACTGGTTTTGTCGCATGGAGTCATTCATGTGCAGTTTAACATTCAAGTTCATTTATGAAAGAATTGTTAAGTCGAGCCTTAAATGAGCACCCAGGAGAGTCAAGTAGCACAAATGTGCGGCATACCCATACCAAAATTGGGGTAGCTATGCTGGGCAGCATAATAATGCCGCAACCGGGCATAGCTATGTCGCAGCTGATTTGGTTCCTTCGACTCCCAACCGAACGAGCGAAATAATTAGGTTGGGTGTAAACATGGTTTCGCTGAAGCAGTTTCTCCATTATGAGATTTACATCCCTCGGTGGTTCGCATATTTCTCGCGTGCGGTGTTTCTCAAGAGGAGTTCTACGTAGAAAGTGAACTGTCGGGAGAGTGATTTCGATATAAGAGCTTTCTCTTGTGATATCAAGGTAAGAGTTTGGAGAGAAAATTATGTATGATCCAGTGATATTAGAAAACGGGTTTGAGTGTGTATTTTTGTATGTTTCTCCCATTCATAGTGAATTTTTTGGTGTTGTGTGACGTTCTCAGGTTTTTCTATGTAAATCCTAGCGTTGTTTTCTTTGAATATTTGTTCTGCTTCCATTTGATTTTTTTTCCTGTTTCGGATTCTCAAATTAGAGTTCCTACTTTCCATAGTGTGGTTTTAATTGTTAACCTATCGAAGTCCTCAATGCATATTCTATCTCAACAAGTAATATCAGAGTGGGGTGTTTGATTCGAGTGGAACCAATGACCGACGAATCATCAAGAAAAAATTGTATTTACCACTATAAGGAATCATCAAGAAGCATGAATCAATGACTATGGAGGAATGAGAAGTGTTGGATTGAATGACCCTATGCTTGATTTGTTTGTCACTTTCCTCGTAGGTTGCATTTAATACAGTGAATGTGAAAAACACAGTGAATCTCATGTCAGCACTAACAAGATGTATGAATAACCATCTATTTCATATAAGATTCTTCTAAAAAAGAGGTTATTTAATACAAAGATGGCAGAAGGCAGTTCAGTGGTTGAACACTTGAACAATTTCAAAATTGCAACTAGCTAGTTGTGTTCTATGAGGACCATATTTGATGACGCGGTCAGAACACTACTAATTTATCTTCATTGTGGGACATATGGGATGGTTTGGTTACAGTGGTGAGTAACTCTTCTCGAAATATGAAGTTGAACTACAATGACATTGTGGGGTTGGTGCTGAATGAGAAAGTTTGTAGAAAGATAATAAATAGTGAATATTCAGATTTTGTGTTGAATGTTGATAATAGGGGAAGAAATTTGGACAGAAATATGTGCATACACAGATTCAAGTCAAGAAGAGGAAAGTCCGGGTTAGGTAGAGAAAATGGTTTAGGAGAATGCTAAAACTGCTTAAAGAAATGATATTTTAAGAGAAACTATAAAACTCCAAGGAAGGCTGGTGGTGAAGAACAATAATAGAATCTCTCTACTAACATTTCAACTAGCATAATCCAATTTCATTTTTTGGTGTTATCCATAGTTATTGTTGAATTTTGGATATTAGATTCAGGCACATCTTTTCATGCAAACCTCAATAAAGTGATGTTTAAAAATTACACTCAGTGTGATCTAAAGAATGTTTATTTAAGAGATAAATAACATCGAAAAGGATGATGTGAATATCAAGTTGTCAAATGGAACAGTCTGGAAGCTCAGTGAAGTCACATATGTTCCAAATCCGAAGTGCATATTCCATCCCAATAAAAATATGTTTGTATAAATGAGATAATGAAGATTTAAACTCCAAATAACACTTTCCATATTTATTAGGAATTTAGATGGCCCTTCTAGCATGGTTATAATGTTCCTATTTAATCTGCAAGATTGCAGCTATCAAACTTACTTTTCTTTCCATAAATAAAAAAAAATCTGTAATTACATGTCCATCAGGAGTTCACTGCAAATCAAACCAAAGTCAACGTTATTAACTTAGCATAATATATCAGAAAAACACTGAACAAAAGAGCCATAAGCCATAAAAGAAAACCTCTGTGAAGAAGTAGCGCACAGCAGCCGTTCTATCAAATAATCTTGAAATATACAGTGGCTACGAAAAAAATATCACATACTTCGTTCCACTCTTCTCCTGCTCTTTTCAGAAAAACTTCGCAGTCCCAACAAAGCCGGTTCTATCATCATCTTGAAATATACACTACCAGTCATTTATAACACCAAGGCTATTAAAAGATTCGGGTTCAACTTCTTCATCTACCACACATCATTGTAAGAGAGATCTCATTTCCTGAACTATAAACATGGTCAGACGTGGACAGTTCTGCTACTTTAGAACCATCCTTGGGATAGAAGCCAGGCCTCATTGGCTGAGGCAGTGTCATGCTCTCACTGCCCAACATCAAAACCACTGAAGCCATTGTAGGCCTAGCTTCGCTCCCTTCTTGCACACAAAGGAGCCCAACTTGCATGCATCGCAGAACTTCTATCTCAGGATAGTCACACTTCAGCGCATCGTCCACCAACTCCAGGGATCTATTTTCCGACCATAGTCTCCAGGCCTGTAGTAAGAACCCATCAAATAAAACAAAAGCAAACATGTAGATGAATATATTTCTCATCTCTAATGATACTTACGTGCCCTACTAGGCTCACATGGCTGTCATTTGATTCAAACACTCTATTCTTCTTACCAGTAAGGATTTCAAGAACAATAACACCAAAGCTATAGACATCAGATTTTACTGAAAAGATGCCGTGCATTGCATACTCGGGCGACATGTATCCGCTGTCATAGGAATAAACAGAGTTGTACGATAAGCTGCAGGTTCATACTGTAGCTGTGAAATTGAGAGTGATAACAAAGCTTACTATGTGCCAACCACTTTCTCGGTGCTTTCTTGCATTTGGTCACCTCTTACAATCCTTGCCATGCCAAAATCTGAAATTTTGGGATTCATCTCCTTATCAAGAAGAACATTGCTAACCTTGAGATCTCGGTGAACTATTTTCAATCTAGAATCTTGATGAAGATAGAGAAGTCCGCGTGCTATTCCAAGAATTATCTCAAATCTTTTTTTCCAATCCAGCTGACAGCTGCTTGCTTTATCTGCTTCAATATTGGTTGTTAGTTTAGTTCTACAACGGGAAAAAACTAGTAGAGAAGACATAAAAAAGAAAGTAAATATGCTTACAGTTGGATTGTTCAAAACAAAGAAACTAAAAAGGGAGTTTTAAAAAGTATCTAGCACTAACCGAATATGAATAAATCCAAGCTTTTGTTGGGCATGTACTCATAAATCAACAATCTTTCCTCTCCCTGGATGCAGCAGCCAAGGAGACGAACCAGATTCCTGTGTTGAAGTTTTGCTATCAACATTACTTCATTCATGAACTCATCCAAACCTTGAACAGAATATCTAGATAATCTCTTGACAGCAATTTCTTGCCCATCTTCTAAACGACCCTGCAAATTTCAACATTTAAGCAACTTCAAAAATTGCACATTTGCATCTTCAAAGTTTTGCAATTCTAGATTGCAGACGAGATGTTCTAAAAAATAAAATATTGGACAAAGATACTACCTTATAAACAGGGCCAAACCCTCCCTCTCCAAGCTTATTTTCATCAGAGTAATTATTTGTAGCATTCTCAATTGCAGACATATCAAATGCGGGAAGTTCCATCTCTTTTCCTCGGCTCTCCTTGAAATAAACATCTCCTACGCCTGCAAAACATGGCTAAAAAAAGTGAGATGTAACTACCATATGTCTTGCATTATTTGTTTTTGAATCGCATATCATTATCTCTTTATTTCACATTGAGGGATTAATTTCCTTCCCAGTTTTTTAATGTTTCAGAAGGGTGCCACAAAACTCAGACTGGTTAGCTGATCAATAAAACCAACTAGCATGAAAAATTTTAAGTAAAACTCAGCATCAAATAAATTTCAGGATGTAAATGTAAACATGAACATCAATTCAACTTACTTCCAAAAAATAAAAAAATATTTATAATTTCTTACGTAATCCTGATTGCTTGTAAACATTAAAATTAAATGATGAACCTATTCACCAAAAGTTGGGTAAAATTTTATACCGAAAGGATGGTGACTAATAGGATGATGAATTTCAAAAAAATACAATTTTACAAGATCAGGAATGTTTCAATAAACACAGGATTGGCCTTAAACTTTTCTATAAAATATTTTAATAGGTAGCATGGTCATGAACATATGATAAGAACAAATGAATAACACCTTCTACACTAATTGTGCGGCTCATTAGGCTTACTGGTTGGGTGCTTTGCCAATTGCCATCATCCACAATGTGTTGTGTTGATGACCTAGCTAGCACATTCAGACATGTAAGTATTTTTTTTTTCCTTGAAAAAAAATATATCAGCTACATAAATTACACATGCATTTTAATAAGCATCATATATCATTCTTTGGAATTTGAAGCAATTTAAATAATTTTTATCGTTACAAAGAAAAAAAAAAGCAAATTTTGAATGTGCATGTTGATCATTGGCCTTAAACTTTTCTATAAAATTTAATAGGTAGCACGGTCCTTACATAAAGAACAAATGAATAACATTGGGTGTTCTGTCTTTAACCATAAGGTGTTGCGTTCAAGGCCTAGTACATTCGGGTGTGTGAGTGAGTTGTTTTTTTTCCAAATAAAAAAAAAACATTAACTACATAAAGTACACATGCATTTTAATAAGCATAATATATCATTCTTTGGAATTTGGAGCAATTTAAATAAGTATCATCATTACAAAGAAAAAAAAACAAATTTTAAATGTGCATGAAGATAGATAACTTACTCCGCCTTCTTTTCTTCCTTAATAGATATATCCCAAAGGTAGAGGATAGGAGTAAAGCTAGCACCAATGGGATGACTATAGCAACTATATGCTTCCTCTTGCTTGAGGCATTTTCTGATGAATCTACAAAAGACATTCTCCAATTTAAAATGTGCCAAGGCATTCTTATGTCTTTCTAGAGATTGGTTAATAAATCCTTTTGCAATAACAACCAAAAATTTGCTAAAGAAATGGCATTTTTAAGAGTAAAAGTTCATGGATCTAGAAAATAGAAGACAAAATCCACAAATTTTAGTTCAAATAAAAAATTAAAGATAGCTTTTATAGGCAACCCAATTTGGTTTATTCATGAAAAAAAAATGAATAAAGATTAACTTAAGCATCAGCTATGAATTAATATTTCAGGTAATTAATTGCATATCTATGAAATTAATTTCAAGCGCTTTCAGCAGATTATGCAACATGAGAGTCAATGAAGCCAACAACTCCAAAATCTCAAATAAAATTATCATTAAGGAGGCATATGGGAGTTTAATATGATCATTGGCCTTAAACTTTTCTATAAAATTTAATGGGTAGCACGGTCATTACATAAAGAACAAATGAATAACATCATCTACACAAATTGTGCAGCTCATTTGGCTTAGTGGTTGGGTGTTCTGTCTTTAACCATAAGGTGTTGTGTTCAAGGCCTAGTACATCCGGGTGAGTGAGTGAGTTGTTTTTTTTCCAAATAAAAAAAAAACATTAACTACATAAAGTACACATGCATTTTAATAAGCATAATATATCATTCTTTGGAATTTGGAGCAATTTAAATAATTATCATCATTACAAAGAAAAAAAAAACAAATTTTAAATGTGCATGTAGATAGATAACTTACCCCGCCTTCTTTTCTTCCTTAATATATATATCCCAAAGGTAGAGGATAGGAGTAAAGCTAGCACCAATGGGATGACTATAGCAACTATATGCTTCCTCTTGCTTGAGGCATTTTCTGATGAATCTACAAAAGACATTCTCCAATTTAAAATGTGCCAAGGCATTCTTATGTCTTTCTAGAGATTGGTTAATAAATCCTTTTGCAATAACAACCAAAAATTTGCTAAAGAAATGGCATTTTTAAGAGTAAAAGTTCATGGATCTAGAAAATAGAAGACAAAATCCACAAATTTTAGTTCAAATAAAAAATTAAAGATAGCTTTTATAGCCTACCCAATTTGGTTTATTCAAGAAAAAAAAATGAATAGAGATTAACTTAAACATCAGCTATGAATTAATATTTCAGGTAATTTATACAGTGAGAGAGAGCGAGAGAGAGAGAGAGAGAGAGAGAGAGAGAGAGAGAGAGAGAGAGAGAGAGAGAGAGAGAGAGAGAGAGAGAGAGAGAGAGAGAGAGAGAGAGAGAGAGAGAGAGAGAGAGAGAGAGAGAGAGAGAGAGAGAGAGAGAGAGAGAGAGAGAGAGAGAGAGAGAGTATATATATAGATTAAGCTAGATTATTTTGAATCTATGGATTACAGAGCACCAAGTGAAAGAGAATGGAAGATAAACATCATGATCTCAATGCTGAACTCCTTGTGGTCTTTATCTAGTGGGTGACTATATATAAAGAAAGAATAAATATACCCTTCCGTCGTAGGTGTGTATTCCTAGCTACTTGTTAACATGCTTTTACAGTTGATAATCAATTATAAAATGTGCTTATTTATTTGTAATATTTCACATGATCATTTTGGCATGATATCATATAGCTTCATATTATTTGTCACACAAATTCCTAGAAAAATCATATACATTATTCGAACTGCTAAGAAATAACCATTGCTTTTATAAATAAAAAAATTATAATTAATTATGTTATAATTTTATGGAGAGCTTATATTAAAATGAAAAAAAAAATCATATGATTTATGCTCAATTAAACTCTTTAACATGTTTGTGGAGATAGGTCCATGATAAAATAATAATTGTTTACGCTATGCTCACGGCCCTCTTCTATTTTCGCGAACTGAACAACAACCGCCTCCCTAATTTCGCGAGCAGAAAGTCCATCCTCCCCGTTCTCGTGAAACGCGGAAGTAGAAAGAAAGACCGAGCGATCTCTCCATATCATGGGGCTCTAATCTGCAGAAGAAAGTTTCGTTGTCTACTATAGAAGCTGAGTATCAAAAGAGATGATATGGCTACAGGGCTTCTTGAAAGAATTTAACAAGAAGAATCAGAAGGGTATTCTCTACAGTGATAGTCAGAGCATTATATTCCTTGTCAGGAATCCAGCATTTTAGTCCAGGACTTAGCACATTCAGATCAGGTATCACTTCATACGGTCAATGTTGGATGACGGACAGTTGATGCTTAAGAAAATTTGTGGAAGCCAGAACCCTACTGATATGTTGACAAAGGATGTTGCTCTGGAGAAACTAAAGTTGTGTGCGGCTTCAGTTGATCTTTTAGCTTGAAGATAGGGATCTTGAGTTACAGAAATGGAGGATAACACGATTGAGGAAAAGGGCTACGCCGCCAGTGAGGATATCGGTTTGAGGAAGAAGACATTGTCGTCTGTATACCGGTCTCGAACTGGAAGATTTGTTGGTGTGGAGCCCGTTCAACGAAAACGAAAATAAAATAAAATAAGAATAAAATGTCGCAACTACTCCCGCTCTGGGTGTTTCGCACCTTACTCCTGCTCCCAGACGGTTCCGTAACTCATCTTTCTCTCGCTACTTTCACGCAAGAAGGCTCTCGATCATCGTGAGATCTCACCTGTTCGAACCGAACGACTGCAGAAGGAGAGGGAAGTATCTCGATCGACTGTAGAAGGCTTGGTGCGTGAGGCTTGCGGAGAAGAAAGAAGGCAAGGTGTTATCGCAAAAGGTTTTGGCGTACTTTGCAGAAAAAAGAAGAATAAGATTGCTCTCCCTTGGTTTCTTCTTGTTGATTTGCAGCAGACGAGAAATGGGTTTTTTCTCTTGTATGTATTTCTTCTTCTTCGGTGTATCTCGATGTAGAGAGAAAAGAATAGAGAGTGAGGAAGTGTGAAACTTTCTCCTGTAATTGTTGTTGTGATCAAACAGTGTAAATTCTTCGAGTAGTAAAATCCTCTGGAACTCTGTGGATGTAGAAAATCTGTCAAACACATAAATCTGTGTTTTTCTGATGTGATTTTTCTCATTCTATTTTTTTTTGCATCGTCATCGATCGAATTTTCTATTTTAATATACCACAACAAATGATATCAAAGTCAATGGGATGACTGCAGATAAAGTGAAGGTTTCAGGGATCGAGAAATTTGATGGCACATGTTTTGGTTATTGGATGATGCAGATAGATGATTACCTCTATGGGAAGAAACTTCATCTTCCGTTATTGGGGAAAAGAGCTGAAAGAATGGATGAAGTTGAATGAAATATGTTGGATCGACAGGTTTTGGGCGTTATTCGATTGACCCTAGGGGTTATTCGATTGACTCTGTCGATGTTCATTGCACATAACGTCGTCAAGGAGAGAACGGTGTATGAAAAATCATCAGTGAATAACAAGGTATATCTGATGAGAAGTTATTCAATTTGAAGATGGCAGAAGGTACGTCTGTTGTACAACACCTAAATGATTTCAATATCATCACAAATCAATTATCGTCTGTAGAAATTAAATTTGATGATGAGATATGTGCACTGATCTTGTTGGCTTCATTGTCAAATAGTTGGGAAGCTATGAGGATGGCTGTCAGTAATTTTCAGGTAAATCTAAACTGAAATTTGAAGATATTTTATTATTTGATTTTGGTTGAGGAGGTGTGCAGGAAAGATTCTGGCGAGATCTCATGTTCGAGTTTAGCATTAAATGTTGATTCCAGATAAAGATCACATGACAGGAACTCAAACAAGGGAAGTTTAAAATCAAAAAATAGAAGCATGAGCAAGTTAAAGGTCTGGTAAACAAGTAACTTGCTAGAATTGTGGGAAAACTGACCACATAAAGAGGATCTGCATGAATCCTAAGAAGAAAGAGAATGACAGTGCAAATGTGGTAATTGAAGAATCACAGGATGCACTATTGCTGACAGTTCATAGTTCTGTTGATGACTGGATATTGGATTCAGGAGCTTCTTTCCATACAACTTTCCATCAGGAATTGATGCAATATTATGTTGCAGGTGATTTTGAGAAAGTATATCTGGCAGATGAAGAAGCTCTGATCGTGGTAGGAATGAGAGATATTGACATTGCACTTCCAAAAAAGAACAAGTGGACTCTGCAAAAGGTCAGACACATTCCTGAACTGAAGAAGAACCTTATTTCTGTTGGCCAACTTGATGAGTGTGGATATTCAGTAATTTTCTACTAAATGAGCACTGGTACTGGCCCAAAGTAAGAAAACAGGTATATCCTGAACTGAAGAAGAACCTTATTTCTGTTGGCCAGCTTGATGAGTGTGGACATTCAGTAATTGTCTACTAAATGAGCACTGGTACTGGCCCAGAGTAAGAAAACAGGTATGTTATATATGACTATTGTTTTAATTAACAGTGTTGATACTACTGTTGCAGAGAGCACAACAAAGTTGTGGCATTGCAGACTTGGCCAAATGAGTCAGAGAGATATGAAGGAACTTCAGTCCAGAGGTAAGCTACCAAAACTGAAGTTAGTTGATCTCGACATCTGTGAGAGTTGCATTATGGAGAAGCAGAGGAATGTCAGTTTCTTGAAATGTGACAAGATATGTGACAGATTGCCAAGTGCTGGAAAACTGGATCTTGTACACACAGATGTGTGGGGACCTTCTCCAGTGGCATCTCTTGGAGGCTCTCGTTACTACGTCACATTGATTGATGATCATAATAGAAAGGTATGAGTTTATTTCTTGAACTATAAATTTGATGTATTCAGTGTGTTCAAGACTTGGAAGGTCATGCTTAAGACAGAGACATGCTTAAAGCAGAAATGCCCGATGTCTGATAATTGTTGTGAGTACATTGATGGTGAGTTTAAAGAGTACTGTGCAGCTCAGGGAACCAGAATGAAGAAGACCACTTAGGGACACCACAGCAAAATGGTGTTGCAGAGCGCATGAATAAGACCATTAATGAGCGGGCTAGAAGCATGAGATTGCATGTCAGACTACCACCTACTTTCTGAGCAGAAGCGATCAGCACGACAGTTTATTTGATTAATAGGGGGTTATCTGTTCCATTAAACTGTGAATTATCTGAAGAAGTCTGGAGTGGGAAAGATGTAAAATTTTCTCACCTTAAGACTTTTGGTTGTCATTTTTATATTCTCATTAATCTTGATGCTCGAAGTAAGCTTGAGGCTAAGTCAAAGAAGTGTTATTTCATTGGCTCTGGAGATGAGACATTTGAATATCATTTTTGGGATGATCAAGGTCGAAAGATTATAAGGAGCAGAGACGTGATTTTTAATGAGAATGTTATGTACAAGAACAAATCCAATACAGTTTCTGAAATAGCACTGAAGGAATCTGAGTTGGTAAGATTTGATGATTTACCAGAAGTTACAGTACATGGCAGAGATGCAGGTGACAAGGAGAGTGAATCCAGGGCATCCACTCTTATTGTTCCACAGTCAGTTTCAAAACAGTCTACCCTTACAGTTGCAGTTCGCAGGTCAGAAAGGGCTAAACGTTCTCCATAACATTATTCTCCAACTTTAAACTACATTCTGTTGACAAATGGTGAAGAACCTCAGAGTATGATCTCTTCTAAAAACTCAGACGGGGGAGTTGGCAGAACTTTCATCTGGGAAGAAAACATTACACAATAAGTGGGTGTACCAGGTGAAGGCTGAGTATGATAGCGGTAAGAGGCATAAGGCTAGATTATTGTAAAGGGTTTTCAGCAGAAGCACAATACTGATTATTTTGAGATCTCTTCCTTGTAAGGTGAAGCTTACAACCATCAGAATGGTACTGTCTATGGTGGCTACTGAAGATCTCTTCCTTGAGCAATTAGATGTGAAGACAGTCTTTCTTCATAACATGCACCAACCTGAGATACAGAGAAATGAAGAGTCAGTTTGCAGATTGAAAAAAAAACTTGTACGGTCTGAAGCAAGCTCCTAGACAATGGTACAAGAAATTTAATAGTTTCATACACAGTGCAGGGTACAACAGATGTCAGGCAGATCACTGTTGCTATGTCAGGTATTTTGACAATTTTTATATCATCC